TAAATGAAGAAAGACTTTAGGCCCACGACAAGAGTATGTTTTAAACACAATTGAACAAAGCTGAGGATTATGACGGATGTATAAGGCCCGTTTTCCATGCACGCGTTTAGCCTAAAGCAAATGTAATCAGGCCGTAACCGGAGAAAACGCGTACGGAATCGCTGCGAAAATGCGTTCATTGAAAACGGGTTCAGCGCGTTTAAGAAAGGCTTATGACGGCGTCGGCTTATGACAGCGTCAAAAATATTATTCACAGCGTCAAAAACATTATTATGACAGCGTCAAAAATATTATTCACAGCGTCAAAAACTTTATTCACAGCGTCAAAAACAGCATCCACGGTGTCCGGAGCCCCTCCCCCTACTATCCAATGATCTTGGGGCCCTAGGCTACAGCCTTTCCAAGCCTATTGGTAAACTCGACACTGGCTTTACCCACACACCTAAAATAGAATACATGTATGATGTACTTATATTGCAGTGCCCATATACCATAATTGGGGAGCCACGGCGGCTCGTTGAGTAAGGCGACGCCTCGCTAACCAGGAGCTCTTGGGTTCTATGATACCCTGTATTTATCGTGGTTTTCTCTTGACAGTGGCGATGGACGGAGAGCCTGGCAAGGAACAGAGAGTAGTCGTTCTGATGGGACCCAAAAGCATCGATCATATGAAGCACATTTTTCATCAAACAGTTCGGTTGTGAATACATGTACACGAATGAAACGTGTGTGGTTTTTCGTTGTACCTCATTAATATTCACATCTATCAGTTGCTTCACTTACAGAGGTTTTGTTATCGCCTAATTATCATTAACGTGGTGTTGAAAGGGTTAAAGCAAGCGTGGCATCTTGTATCAATCCTCACCACAACCAACTAGCAGCATTCTGTATGTATCTTCACCTGATTCAATTTGTACTCGTCCGCTTTCATTTATTTTATAACCTCCATGTGAATGATGGGGGACAGATGGAGCAAGAACACAGAGATAACTCTTCTGTACAGCCTATTTAAAATGGGATAAAACTTATTTTCTTCATTGATTTCAATGTTAAGTTCAGGATACAGTATGCATGCAGGGTCGGATTTACCAATAGAAAAAAGTAGGCCAGTGGTGTAGGGTCCACGGGTCTGGGAGCCGACGAATGAGTTTGGTCTAGGACCTACAAATCTGTTAACCAGACCCTGGTTGAAATATGCCAATATTTCTATAAATGTGTATGCCAACTTATGGGTTTGGCCTAGGGCCCACAAGTAGGTTAGTCCGGCCTTAGACCGGCCCTAGTTCGAAGGTTCTAAACTTTTTACACACAAAGAGCCAAATATTTCACAATAATTTGATAACAAGGGGGTGGTTCGACTACCTAGATATATTTAATAAAAGAGATCTATGTATACTACTATTCATGAAATCAATTTTATGGTAGATGGACTTGCGTGTTACTCGGTAACTAATAATGTGAACATATATATTCGTTTCCTGTGTCCGTCGTCTTGTTCACAATTTGTTTGTGAACTCCACAGTTCAAATTTGTAGGGATTGTCCATTGCAAGCATTGTGCATTTGTCCATGATTTGGTCTACGGAAATCACCGCGAGTAGGGTGGACCAGAAGAGAGAAATATGGGGTTTAATGTCCACTCGACACAAACTAGGTCATTTCGGGACTAACATATGGCTAAATTTCATATGAATAATTCGATTGCGCTTAGGGGTCTTTAGCAGTGGGAGGAAACCAGAGAGAATCCACGAGGTTGGACAGGCGAACCTACCCATTGTCACGTACAGCCGGGGAATCGAAACCATGCCAGTTGACTCAACGACAGACCTTATGCCTTATGATACAACGATACCCCCCCCCCCTCCGAGCCAGTGAGTATGACGCTGTCTCTAACCAATAGGTCCTGGTGTTTGACGAGAAAGTTCATTGGGATGTAAAAAGCTTTATATTGTTACTGTTAATTACAGGAAGAACTATTCTGGTCTCCTGGTAAGTGAGCCATTGCCTTACTAATTGGGCCACCATGGCTCCTCCTAAACCTCTGGTCACTAAGTTACCAAATCAATATTTTTTTGTTGTTTTTTTTTTTTTTTTGGAAACTCAAAATGTTTAATTTCGATTTTCCCAAAACTTTACGTTCTGGTTTTCAACTTTCGACGTATCTTAGTAGCAAAGGCAATGGGTTTTAACGTCCTACTTTTCTGCACCGACTGAATATCTTGATAGCGAAATTATTTTACAATGTGAAGTCAGACTTTGTAAAGGGAAATGAAATGAAATGAAATGGGGTTTAACGTCCTACTGTTCTGCTCCTATACTGGGCTAATGAAGACGGGCATACGCCATACAGTGTGCTATGAGGAAAATTTTGCCCGGGCAGCGGCACTATCGCCTACTCTTATATCGAATTCCAACTGCCAAGGGATCTTTTACGCGCATTCCAATGTTTACACGGGACCTCGGTTTTTCGTCTCATCCGAAGGACTAGACAGCTGTCCTTGTCAGGCCCTCCGTCCTGCATCACTGACAAGGGGAAACCACGTCGGAAAATCGGGATGAACTTACAGAGAAAGAGAAATGGGGTTTAACGTCCACTCGACACAAACTAGGTCATTTCGCGACTAACATATGGTTTTTATTTTTTATTTCAATAATTCACTTGCGCGTAGGGGTCTTTGGCAGTGGGAGGAAACCGGAGGACCCGGAGAAAACCCACGAGGTTGGACAGGCGACCCTACTCCTTGTCACGTACAACTGGGGAATACTTTGTAAATCCTATACGAAAGTCCGTATGATAATATATCACATATTGACACTGTAAGAAAACTTTTTTTTTTCATTTCATTGTTGACTGATATTTTCAGGTCATTTGAAATACTTTGCAATAAAGTATAATTATGCGCGAAATAACATATCTTTGAAGGTCAAGACGGAGTATAGTTTATATTTTAAAAAGAACACAGCACAAATCGTCCATAGAGATTTCTACAAACTATTTCAGACGCACAGAAATGAATATTTCTTGGCGCCCCCTGAAAAGTTTTACCTCGACAAGACTTCAATCAGCTACAAGAGAGTGATATACTAAACTGACCGGTCCTATAGTGGTGGCGTGGACACGTGCAGATAACTTCAAACACATAGTCATAGACTAAATGCACTTAAAGATATTTATTGCCCACACGTGTGCAGTATATTCCAATCCGAGGCTTTAAATAAGAAAATTCAAAATAACTTGAATTATGACAGAGGTCACGTTAGTATTTCATTCGTGTTCATATTTAGGAGAAAAAATATTGAGGGAAAATGTTGGCAACAGTGAAAATGCCTCATATTATATAGGCCTATGCTCCATTACTTTGTTATAATATCCTAAGTCTGTGCGACACAAGAAGAAAAACAATAAGATGATCATTTACAGGGGAAGACTATCCATTAGGAAACTTTATAGGCAATACCCGGTGGGCTAGGTTCGCCAAGTAAAGCAAAATGGGTCGATGGAATGGATATAAATCAATTAACGAATGCTGGGACGACGTACGACGTAGCAGGTGAAGGATGCCCGGGACGGTAACGCATTAACGAAATCGTACCCCTTTTACTTGATACCTACTATATAAGATGGTTTAATGTAGGAGATCAATTTTCTACCCACCAGTTATAATAAATAGGTAAGAACAAACAATGAGTAAACTACAAGTAACGAAAACCACGATTTGTTTGTTGTTGCATTTTTGTAGTTTTTATTGCACACTATAATTATACAATTCACTTAAAGGGACAATAACACTCTTGCTGGCTTGAAAGCTCCAGAAAATAAATAATATCTCTATCTAAGCACTAGATGTTTAAGTGTCCTACCTGTTGTGTAAATTATCCATTACATCCTATTTTACTTGTCCAGAGGGTTCGAAAATATTTTTAAATCGAAGTTTCATTTGAAAAGGTTTACGTTAGACGTTTCAAACCATTATGTTGAATTTTTCAAAATTTTTAAATAAGGTGTGTTAAGATGAAATTTGTATCATCAATTAATTAAAATATTCTAAAATAGTACAATTTGTTGACCAGAATAAAGATTGGGATATATTATTCAGTTACAACAAGAATGGTATTGAGCCTTTAATAATATAACATGCATTCATCTTGTTTTTTGTATTAACAACCATTGTATCAAATTCATCAATATTGTACGGGTCAGGTCTAAATATTAAGGCCACTGCCGATTCCGTCAAGGTCGCGTGATTAAGCCTGCAGTTGACCTTAATATTTAGACCTAACCTTATTCCACCCCTTTACAAATCCGGTGAAAATTTGAACAACCGGTCAATACAGGCCAAGGGACACAACTCCAATTTTCAACTTCAAACCGGCTGTTTATGTGGGATCAGACCAATACTCCTCTTCCCATTGACTGCCTGTTAAAGCTTCATTTTTTTTTAACATTCTGATAATCTTAATCTTTATACCCAGAAAGAGTCCAACACTATACTAAAGTGTAGTTATTTTTCAAAGAAATCTATTGGCTGTGACGTCATTTTCGTTCAAGATTTCCCTAATTTATGTGTTTACTTCATGATCCTAATGTCTCAAAATCATGAATATTATTATTATGGCATAAAATTTACATTCAAACACACCCCTTCGTTTCTAGAGCAAAATTCCAACCAAATTACTATGCAAAAGGTAGAAAGAGAGAATTGTTATAAGTTGAAGAACAACATTCATGGGAACTGAGATAAAGGGAAGTAATTACTAGTCTTAGCCCAAATGGAGTCAGACTAGTAATTCCGATAATCTTAATAACCACAAAGAGCCTAATATGTCACAATCATCTGATAACAATATTGAAAGGGGTTGACCATTTTGATTTTTTGCTAGGCTTGGTCAAAGGAATATATAGGCAGTGATGTCATTTTAAAAAGAGATTCCCCCAAGCTCAAGTACATTGAAACAGTTGCTAGGAGTCTTTCAAGCAGATAGCACTATCTGCTATATATGAAGGCCTATACAGTATTTATTCAGGTTATTAGTTCACTAATATGAAAAAATATCATGTTTGTGATTTTATAAATTTAGCAATAAAGAATCCTATAGTATCGGTATCACAGGTTAGATTATCAGATTTTAAAGTACTTGGATCAAATCTCTGTAGTAATTTTAGTTGATCTTCTGAAAGATTGTTGCCACCTTTAATACCCTGGCCACCCACATGTGGTGTCTAAAATAAAATGATGACATTAAAGCACTGATAATATAATCAAGACATATTCATATTACAGTTAGAAAAAATATATATTGAGAGAGATATGGAGTTTAATGTCCATTCGACACCAAACTAGATCATTTTGGGACTAACATACGGTTCAATCTTATTTCAATAATTCGGTTGGACATAGGGATCTTTAGCTACGTGAGGAAACTGTGGAACCGGGGGAAAACCCACAAGGCTGTACAGGAAACCCTACTCCTTGTCACTCACAGTTAGAAATAAGAAACAAAAGACATTACCTAAAGGAGCTACATCTCTATTCTTTGGCAACTAGAAATGGACACAAATGGGTCGCAATGCATTTAATAATGTAATATGAATTCATATACTGATTGACCAATAAGTCGTATTTGCAATGTGGAAGACTGTGGATGATACTGAGATAGCGACTTGCCTCCTTTAATTGGTATAATAATAATAATTTACAAATATGAAAACTAACCTGTTTAATTAGGTTTAGTTGAGGAAAGTTTTCCAGGGTCCATTCTATTTGGGATTCATTCTCTTCTACTGGTACGGTACAAGTACTATAGACCAGTGTACCTCCAGGTTTTAATAACGCTACAGCCTAAAATATAAACATATTTTGTTCCAGATCCTGTATACAATATAGTCTATTATACATAACTCTACAACCTAAAATATAAACATAATATTTTGTTCTTGATACCTTATAATACTATAGACTAATATACATAACTTTACAAACTAGAAAATAACGTTTTGTTCCAGATAAGAATCCGGGTGAAAGATAAGGTACAGAATATAAATCTACTGAAATCATAATCTAATTGAAAAAACATGGGATTTCAAGCGAAAGGTAAAGTATGATTATAATACTGCCCGAGTTTCATAATGATCTGTTTCTTGATGAAATTCGATTTGGATACATTATAAAACTTACTGTTTTCATCAACTGTCTTTGATACCTGGGAAATGATTTTAAAACACTAGGTACCATGATGTTTTTTAAAGATGGCCTCTGACCTAATGCACTGCACGGTCCATCCAATAAAATACGATCAAATGTTTCACTAGGATAGGGTGGACTTCCTTCTCTCACTGTAAAAAGTCAAAATTGAACAGCTTTATGTATTGTTAACCAAATACAAATTATTCAATTTATTTATCTGATTTTTCCCATAAATTTATATTGAAAGTCAAGCAAAGGGTCATTAGGTCATGTTCAAGTTTATCAAACCAGACGATGTCTAATTTTTTTATAATAATAAAAGAAACTTCAATCAATTAAGTTTCTAGAGACAGTCAGACACTCTAGATCAGTGGTTCTCAACCTTTTTTTGCCAACGGCACACCTTGGAACACATGAAAAAATAGCGGTTCCCCATGGCTAAATATAATATGAAAAATAAAATAAAAACAAAATAAAAACATGGCAAGTCATAGATGGCATACAACCATAGACACAGACTAGTCATAGACACATAGAATGAGTCAAACTAAATAAAGAAAAAGCACAGCTATGAACTTCTTTAGTGAGAAATTTTCTTACTGTGCCGTTCAAATGACATTTCCCAGTTTCTGTGTATACCAATTTAAGTGCAAATCAAAGATGATGGGTGTTATTTTTTCACTGAATCTGACATGGACTGACCAATAAACCAGAATGATCAACAACCGACAGTTCAACGCTAAGACCACAAGTTACTCCAAATTTACAACCAAAATCATTGAAATTGCCACACTATTTCAAGAATGGAAAAGAACTGAATAGGGATAAGCTATTTCACTGAAGGACTTCCAATAGATCAAGACGAACCTGTGGATTTATCTGAACTGTGAGCATTTCTGGCGTCGTAATCATAACATTCTACAAGATGAGATAATCCCCAAGCCTCTATATTCTGTTTTAATTTATTTATTTTACCCCTAGCTTTATCTAAAGCAACCACTCTCCCCTGTAATAAGAAATAAATAACATCTATTGACAGGGAGAAATAATAACAAAGGGAGATTCTAATTGTAGATCAGTTGGGGAGGTTCGGGAATTTCTGGATTCCACACTGGCCGCTTTATATAAATGGGTATTTTGGAGGGGTAAAAGCTAAATTGGATCCAAATTTGGTTAAGGTTAGAATTCCCCAAAATACTCATTTATATAAAGCATCCATTGTGGACTACGGAAATTCCCAAACCCATCCCCCAACCGGTCTAAAATTAGCATCTTCCAAAAACAAAATATCAAGGATGACAAGATTAGTCCAACTAGTCCGACATCTAAACATTATTGAAATTTATGGAAGCTCAATGAACAAATCACTCACTGATTACTGCATTTCTCATCTTATCAGGTTTTTCAAAAGATTTTGTCTGGAATTCAATCGCTTGTTAGAAAATCCAATTAACTATTTACTAGCAAAAAAAATAACACTTAAAGGGGCATTATGTAAAGAGCTGGTCGTTCTCGCTATAATATTTCAAAAATAGATAATACAAAATGAATATACTGAAAATTTCCATATTTAAATTAAATCATCAAATGGCCGAACCATTTTAATCTACTGAAAATCGGAGCCTTCAGATGGCATCAACAGCTGATTATGGTGTTGTCATGTTAATAAATGTCAACCGGTAATTTATATAACATTTAAGGCCCAAAGAAAGAACTGCAATAGGCAGAATTAGCTCTTGAATATTGCCTGTTTAACTTCTTTGAATGGCATTTAGTAATTGGAACATAATCAAATAACACACTATTTCTGGATAACAATTGCTATGGTTTATTTCATCATGACATAAACCATAGTAATTGTTATCCATAAATAGTGTGTTATTCGCCTGTTTAACTTATTATATGAGTGGCAACTAACTTTGTAAATAAAGCAATAGACATTGTCAGGCTCAAATTCAGTCAATATCAGGTCTTTATCTAAATCTTACATAACGCATCTTTAACAATGAATACATTGATTGATGGCTGATAAACATGGGTAACAGAACAATATTTCAGATAATTAAGTGAGGGGATATGAAATATATATCTTGCCTCTTTTCTTTACCTTTCCACAAAGAAGAGCTGCTATATGTGTTGTCTTTCCACCTAAACGAATAAATGAAAAGAAATGAAACAGGGTTTAATAATGTCCTACTGTTCTGCTCTGACTGGGCTAATAAAGACAGGCATACACCATACCGTGTGCGATGAGGGGAATTTTTCTTAAACTGCGGCGCTGCGGCCTACCCTTACATAGAATTCCAACTGCCAAGGGTTCTTTTATGTCCACAATACATGTCAATATTAACCTAATAAAAAGATAATGTTATCTTAGCAGGCTTCAATATTTATTTATAAAATTTGAAAGAAAGATGAATATTGTTTTTGAAATAAAGGTAAGTTTTATCCTTTGGTCAATCTGATGATCTAATTTTCATGGCAAGAATACATCCTTATGCATAACTATATATTGAATTTATTCTTTAAAAAGTTACAGGGAGCCACAGTGGTTTACATCTGTAAATTTGATTTTAATAGTAAAATCTAAGCCATAAAGCTGTTAAAAATGATAACAGTTGATACGTGAATATCCCAAAAAAGACTCAAGCAATAATTAAACATAATAATTGACAATATCTGTAACAATTTAATTTGTTAAATATTCTTTTTTCTTGAATAAAATTTTTTAACCTAGGCATCTAAACATTTTCTTATAAAAATAATTTCTTGATAGCTTACACCAATATAGAAAGATAACTCATGTTTTCCTTTTGCGTTCATCACTTCCTTTTGTTGAAACCTTGTTTACGCATCTATCATAGCAATGATCTCTGTGTTAAAATTATCTTTGGAATGTGGTTAATCAGTTCTATCACATATGTGATGATGACTGACACCAATATTGTCCTTTAAGTTCCATATACATGTACTTACCAGGAGCAGCACACATGTCAAGAATTATCTCCCCTGGTTGTGGATCAAGAACATGTGTACATACAATAGAAGGTAAATTCTGAGCAAAAACTATATTTGGTAATATGTCTAAACATGGTGCTTCCATAACAGGCTGTGTCATCAATATACCAACACCACTGAAATTTAATATAATACTTACTGGACATAAAATATGAGAGAGAGAGAATGAAAAGAAATTGGGTTTGATGTCATACTGTTCTGCTCCGGCTGTGATAATGATGACCAACATAAACCATACAGTGTGCTATGAGGGAAACTGTTGCCCTGACAGTGGTGCTATGGCCTACTCTCATGTCAAATTCGACCTGCAAAGGCTGCAAAGGGTTATTTTAAGTGCATGGTAGACAAGGGACATCATCTTTTTAACCCATCCAGAAGACTATATTGTCCCTTGTCAGGTCCTTGAGAGAGAGAGAGAGAGAGAGAGAGAGGGAAAAGAGAGAGAAATAAGAGAGAGATGGAGTTTAACACTCACTCAACACAAACTAAGTCATTTCAGGAATAAAATAATGCTATAACTTTATATCAAGAAGACCACGCCATTTTGATGTTGTGTTCTTCAGGAACTCATGTTAAAAATTCTCCTGTTATTTTTTCCGGAAAAAGTTCAAAACCAAAAGTACTTGGTCATTTCGGGACTGACATATGATTTAATTTTACTTCAATAATCCACTTATGTGTAGGGGTCATTAGCAGTATGAGAAAACCAGAAAAACGCTGAAAAAAACCTGACGAAGTTGGACAGGAGACCCTATTTATTGTAGAATCGAAACCACGCCACCGTACAATGACAGACCTTATGTTCTAAAGCACCTTGTAGGTTACGTAAATTCACATCACCAGCAGTTTAGTGAAAGGGAGGTAATAGCAGTACTGTATATTTTGATCAATTTTTCGAAAATCACTTTCAACTAATTTCAAGTTCCAAGAAATAAGAGTTATACGCCCTTTAATAAATTCAGACTTGAGAGAAATCAATTTTTCAGTCTGTATATACGAGCGTATATGTTAAGAATATAAATGGTATAAATTGTAGTGAATTATCATATTAAAAGACCCATTGTATTACTAAATCTTTCTCTACTGACTTCAATCAATAATCCTGAGTATAGTTAATTGAGCTCTTTATGTTGAATCAAAGAGAAAGTCATAATAACTTTTGAATATTATATACATTAAAAATAGAATAAGGTACTTATTAGTAAGTAACTCATATAACGAAAGTACACTAATTGGGTGTGATTTGCATTTTTCAAAAAAAATACAATATCAAAATTTCTCACGGCTTTAAGATACATTATTGTAAGATTTAGATAAAGAGCTGGCTGTTCTTGCTATAATAGTTCAAAAATAGATAATGTAAAATTAATATTTCATTCAAATTACTGTATACTGAGCCAAGTAATCACTGTATGGAGGTTTAACAAGATGTTTGCTTTATTATTGTAACCAAAGTGCTGCTCCATTTTTAAATTTAATATTAAATAGCCGAACTGTTCTGATCTACTTTAATTCGAAGCCATCCGATGGCATCAAGAGTTGATTATTGTCTTGTCATGTTAATAAGCAAATTTAGCAGATTTAGCTCTTGAATATAATAAGTACTCAGATTGATTAGGTAAAATTTAATTAAGAAATAATAAAGATGGCGGTGCTTGTCATATGGTAATATCATGACATCATCCGACAATAAAAAGACTTGTAACTGGCAATTACTGTAGATTGCAGAATAGCAGAAAGTTCAACTTCAAAGAAATTTAGACCGGTGTTGTTGATAAATTCTCTCAAGAAAAAAAAGTGAGAAACACCAACATAATAGCCTCTACAAACGTTTTGCGCATGCTCTGCACAGCAATAATCTGCATTCAATGTTGTGCATTCAATTCTGTTGCCAGACACATATGGACCTTCAGGCGAATTTTGACACAAATTTCACTAGAATTTGTGTGACATACACAACTGCATCGTAAGTACTAATTCAGTTTACTGAAAATTCTTGTTAATTCATGGAGTTTCTCACAATTTTGTTTCTCGAACTAGTCGAGAGCTGTCGCATGCCAGTGAAATACTAGTTTTAGAAATAACTCTAACAATGTAGCAATAATAGTGCTCCTTTTCCTGGACAAAAAAAGTGGAGGCCTATAGAAATAAAAGTTTAATTTCTAAGCAAATATAAGATAACACAGGCTGTCCAATTTCCTAAGTATATTCACCAAGTCAAGAATCAATATACTTATAATATTTACTAAACTCATATTACACTGGTAGCATGCTGGGTTAGTGACTGAACTAATTAAAGGGACAAGAAGCCAGACTAATAGATAAATATAGAGTTTTAAAGCCAGACTTAAAGATGAATATAGAGCAAAGAGAGAGAGAGAGAGAGAGAGAGAGAGATGGGGTTTAAGGTCCACTCAACACAAACTAGGCCATTTCGGGACTAACGCATGGTTCAATTTTATTTCAATAATTCGCTTGCGCATAGGTGTCTTTAGCAGTGGGAGGAAACCAGAGTAACTGGAGAAAACCCACGAGGTTGGACAGGCAACCCTACTCCCGGGGATTTGGAACCACGCCAGTTGACTCAATGGCAGACCTTATGATACAGCACACACGTGCCATCCATTCGGCCATCCAATAATAATAATAATTGATTGATATAGCGCGAAACAATTCAACTCAACGAGCTGCTCTCGGGCGCTTTACATAAGTACAACTAATATAAAATAACAACAATCACAACACATTAATCCATAAAATAAAAGACATAAACCCCCCAATATAGAGCAGACTAAAGGTTAAATATGTAGTTTTAAAGTCAGACTAAAGGTTAAATATAGAATATATGGGAGATTCGATAATGAGTTGGCAATTTTCACTATAATAATTAAAAATTAGATAACGTAAAGGCAATTTGCTGAAAATTTCATTCAAATTGATCCACTATGAACCGAGAACTAAGCGAATGAAATTTCTGTCTTGCCTCGGTCATCATTACTTAAGTCAGTACGATAAACAGCATAGTCTCGATTATCCATTTAATCGAGAAGGAAAGTTATGCAGTAAATCGGCTCACAATCCACTTAAGATCGCAGGCTAGCGATGCCATCTAGAGTTGATTATGGTCTGGATAACTTTATTACTGTCTAATTAATAATTTAGATAACATTTCAGGCCTAAAGAAAGACCTGCAATAGACAGATTTAGCTCTTGCATAATGTATGTTTAAACCAAAAAAACCTAATATACTATTCAAAAAAAGTAGGGGATATTTGATTTTTAAGTGTTATTAAAGTCACCTAATGAAACTGACGAAGAAACAAATGACAAAATGAAATGAAGTTCACATTCATCGATTTATTCCAAATGATCGTTAGACTAAGTAAGGCACAGACTGACCATTATAAGGGTAAAATGATACCCGGGGTCAAACAGCAAAGTTACCACAGCATCACAACCAAGTCAGTAACGGGTAAATCCTCCTCTGTTTGCCAAACAAGCATTGATCCGACGTGGCATACTCCTAATGAGACGTCTAAAGTCATTTTGGTCCAGATTGTCCCATTCCTGTTGCAACGCAGCAGCAAGTTCTTGGACATTGGCAGGACGTTGTTGACGCTGACGTAACCTCTGTCCAAGCATGTCCCAGACATGCTCGATGGGGGAGAGGTCGGGACTCAGTGCTGGCCAAGGTAATGTGGTGATGTTCTGTTGTTGGAGGTAACCTGTAACGATCCTGGCCCTGTGACATCTTGCGTTGTCATCCTGGAAGATGAAACGGCGGCCATGACGTCGTGCGAACGGCACAACATGGACTGCCAAGATGTTGTCCCGGTAGTACTGGCCTGTAACACGCCCTGCAACAACATGTAAAGCCGTTCTTCCAGCAACAGTGATGCCTCCCCACACCATAACAGAACCACCCCCAAATCGATCATGTCTGATGACGTTAACGTCTTGGAAGCGCTCGTTTCGACGACGCCACACCCTCCTACGTCTGTCCAAAAAATCAACAGTGAACCTTGACTCATCTGAAAACATCACATTGCTCCAGCGTCGATTATCCCAGTGTTGACGATCCCTACACCAACGACGTCTTGCCTGAATGTGATGATCTCTCAAACAAGGGATCACGCGAGGACGTCGGGCGCGAAGGTGACCCCTATGCAGTCGATTCCGAATCGTCTGGCCACTCACTCTCACACCAGTGTCTGTTTGAAGACGAGCACTGATCTGATTTGCTGTGATGACACGATTTCTCAAGGCCAAGGTACGGATAAATCGATCCTGGGCTTGAGTTGTCGCCCTTGGTCGACCTGAGCGTGGTCTGTCCTGTACAGATTGTGTATCACGGTATCTGGACCATAGCCTGCTTATGACAGACTGAGAAACATTCATCGTCCGCGCCACAATCGCCTGTGTTGTGCCGATCTGTAGCATGCCAAGGGCACGTAACCTTTCATTTTGGGTAAGCCGACGCATATCAAAATTTGTTTTCTGGTCACTTAAACAATTAAACTGATGTTTCCACCCTGGAATTCAATGCCACAATGACTGTAACATTCAAAGTCAGAGTCGTGCAAATCTTGGGTTGGACCCCCATGATGATCCCAAGCATCACCTGCATTCCATGCGGTAGCTATTGGTGCGTTTGGGCGTCACAAGTAACTGGAAATGTTTCTTCTGTTAGGTTCTATAGTGACTTTTTTCGTAGTCATTTGCATATTTTAGTATTATGCCCCCAAAATCAAATATCCCCTACTTTTTTTGAATAGTATATATAGTTTTAAAGCCTAAAAATGCAAGACCATGTGTGCGTATAAAAATATAGAGTTTTAGAGTGCCAAAAGGCAAGAATAAAGCTTAATTATAGTGTTTAGAATGCCAGAATCAAGGTTAAATATAAAATATTGAGTGTTAGAGTGCCAAAATGCCAGAATAAAGGTTAAATATAAAATATAGAGTTATAGAACCATAAAAAAAATCAGAATAAAAGTAAAATTTAATCCCCAAAAATACAAGATTAGGACAACACACAATCAAAAATTTTTATTTGAAAACATTTCTGTCCACAAATTATTCAAATCAATCCAGGGCAACTAAAGTTATTACGGTGATTTAATAATACATTACAGTTTTATCCTATAAATTCTTACCTTATTTTCTCTTCAGAACAGAAATATTCATCCCGACCAATTTGAGCAACACCATTACCCACAAACATCTTATTTTTGGAGTATTTCTGTGTGGCCCCTCTACGACATAACCCTTCCATATCACAATACACTGCTACTATATCTCCCTTCATCATACCTTCAGGTGAATTGTTTATATCAATATAAATAGTAAATACATTATATCCTGAGATACAATGATAATGCACAGCTTTTATAAATTAATGATTGTTAATCTTGTTTGAAAGATACATACACATTAATCTTGTAATTCTGATCACAACGATAGCATGTCAGAAGAATGTTTTCAAGATCATATTCAATTCTCTCACACACAAAAGATTGAATGTGAATGTTGAAAATTACATATTTATGGTTTAAACGTGGAGCACATAGTGTGGCAATTAAAACGTTAAAGTCTGTCCAAAGATATGTGAAAGTTGCCACCTGAACACGGAGACCACACCATTGCATTAATTCAGAGCCTTAACCAAGTTTGGTTGCCACCACATTAAAATCCTGAGACTGATTGGGTCCACTAGAGATTGGCCAACGCCAGTGGCCAATGCCTGGACAGCAATGGCTGACGGCTTCCCGTACTGACTCAATTGTGACTCAATGCAAATAGCCACAGAGAGAGAGAGAGAGAAATGGGGTTTAACATTCACTCGACACAAACTAGGTCATTTTGGGACTAATATATGGTTTAATTTTATTTCAATAATTCGCTTGCACGTAGGGGTCTTTAGCTGTGGGAAGAAACCAGAGGACCCAGAGAAAACCCACGAGGTTGGACAGGCGACCCTACTCCTTGTCATGTACAACCGGGGATTCAAAACCACGCTAGTTGACTCAATGACAGGCCTTATGATACAGCATGCACATGCTAAATAGCCACAGACTTTTGATTCTAAGCCCCTGTGCATGTGATGCATTGACTGCGTTAGCTACATGAAAACGTGCCCAAGCTGTCAATGCTGGTGATAACGCTTTCTTTCAGTATTTTCTATAAGTTGTAAAGTTTGTTAAAAGAAATGAAATGATATGGAGTTTAATGTTCCACTTTTCTGCACCAACTGGGCTAATGAAGACGGGCTATGACAGAAAGTTTGCGTGGACAGTGGCGCTACGGCCTATCGAATTCCAACTGTCAAGGGTTCTTTTACGTGCACACCACTGTTCTTGCCAGGTCCTTTGTCCTGCCCCACTGACATGATAAAACCACGCTGGAAAGTCCATTGGGGAACTTTCTCAACCAACACTGGGATTGAATCCCGGACCAACTATCTTGTGAGCTAGTGCCTTACATACTGAGCCATTGCAACTCCCTTCTTAAAGGAGGTTTTTGTGGATGTCATGAATTACATATACCTACTTGATGCAGCTCCCATTATGCCTTGTGCAAACACATCTGCGCCTCGTAATACAGCCATTCCACACATTAAATCTACTATTACTTCTTTTTCAGCCTGGAAACGGAAGACAGATATTTTCTTGTTTAAAATAAAAAGTCCTACTTTTTTTTAGCCAAATGGATGAATGAAGACAGAGCTTACCATGAAGGATAAGCCCATATTTTTAAAATGATGGTAAACAAACAGGGACAATCAATGGGGCTCATCCTCTCAGTTTCCTAATGTTTCACATATAATTCATAAAATAGAGGTAACTATGGAATGGAAGGTCATAAAATGCTAAATATTGATAGTCATTGTCCTCTTTTGACCCTAATGTTTAAAAAAAAAATTGGATAAAAACTATAGCCTCCATAACATTCACAAGGTATTGGAAAAAGGGGCATGACTCCTGAATGAAAGTCCTGATGTGCACAAAATTCAAATTCATCCTAGATCAGTAACATATCTGTTAAGCTTCATCTAAATGGGACAACAATTGTGGGCTCTAGAGGGTCTGCAAACTTGTACATATTTCACATTTTACCTAACACTTTTAAGCTTCATCAAAATGTATTTTCTGATTTGCCACCATTGGCGTCTTCTAGTCATGTGGGTGGGGGATAGGGAGGGGCCTTATACATCGAATAGTCTAGGACCTGTCTTCATCTAAATTCTGCCCTGATTAACCCTAAGATATAGAAAGCAGGCATGGTGATACTGAGTTGTTTTTTTTCTCAAAAAATCACAAATTTTGTTGTGCAGAGTAGATAGCTATCAGAAGACAAATATTGAGTAAACTTGTCACTGTGAACAGTGCTTATTTGGAAATGAAATGGGGTTTAACATCCTACTGTTCTGCTCCGAACTGGGCTAATGAAGACGGGCATACGCCATACAGTGTGCTATGAGGGAAATTTTGCCCGGAAAGCGGCACTACGGCCTACTCTTATATCGAATTCCAACTGTCAAGAAATCTTTTAAGTGCACGCCAATGTGTATACAGGACCTCGTTTTTCCGTCCCATCCGAATGACTAGACAGCTGTCCTTGTCAGGCCCTCCGCCCTGCATCACTGACAAGGGGGAACCATGCCGGATAATCAGGATGAACTTTCTCGGCCAATGCAGGGATCGAACACCCGACCTCCAGCTAATGAGCCAGCGTCTTATCCACTTAGCCACCGTGACCCCCCGCTTATTTGGAAGATCATAATCAGCCCTTCACATTTCAGGTGGGCTTTCGGTCTAGCTCCTCACAACTCACCTCGACTTTCCTTCACAGGAGTTATTAAAAAACTCCTCCAAATTAGCTAAATCGCTCTCCTAAATATTCAGTTTTTATTTTTAAACTACATATGTTCAAGCTATTAGTTTCCATGATGATAATTCTGACAATACCATACTGACCAAACATACTGACCAAATATTAAACAAGACTAAAACATAAATGCAATTTGGCAGTTTTTTTACAGGATCTTTTTTCTCAATTTTGAAATTGGCAGGAGATTTTTCTGGTTCCTGAACAATTTTAAAATGTGAAGGACTGCATAATGTAGACAATACATGTACATGCATTGGTGGGATATGCTTACATACAATGTCTAATACTTACTGGAATAAGATTCGTCTTTGGTCCTCTATTCTGTATCACTAGACAATCTTTTAAAGCAGGATGGCGCCATATATCAAACATGTCCATTCCTCTCGACACACATTGCTTTGAATAACAAATAACAAAGATGGGTTGCCACACAATGAAACATACCCCCACAGCTGCTAAGTCGTCCGAGGAGTCAACAAGAGTTGTCGCATATTTAAAGCAGGATGGCGCCATATATCAAACATGTCCATACCTCTCAACACACATTGCTTCGAATAACAAAAAGTGTAATCCAAGACCAAAGGTCAAACAAATTCAATTTTTACATCTTTATTTCTTAGGAAGCCACTCAAGTCTAAGAGCGATATTTTGTTTAAAAATTTTAAAATTCCACTGTAGTCCAAAGTGCCCAGAAGGACATGTCTATGTACATGTTAACTGGACAAGTTATGTTGTAAGAGATCATTGCCATTACCAGGTCACACGGCTGACGTAATGCTAATAGAATGTAATCATTACATTTTTTAAGCAGTGGCCATGTTATGAGTATTGGAAGATTTCAAAAGTAATGAGTAATGGAAATAATTATATTCAAAATCAAGTAATGGTCAAGTACATTTGAATTACATTTTATGGCACATATAAATATTTCCAATATGACAAGCCTCAAATTTTATAGCAGTAAAGAAGTAAATTATGTGTATCTGACACACATCTAAGTCAAAGAAATTATTTTAGAACAAGATTTAAATCAGTTTTAACAAATTATAATAAGAATAAGAATACATTAAACTCATATCTAGAGCTAAAAAATATTTTAGACAAGCTATTTAGGCCCTTCCTATAAACTTATTTGTATATAATTATATCTATTATCCTATTGTTATCTACAGGTACCCTGTGAAATCTGCGGTAGCATGTCATTTCGGTCCCGCGTCAGTTCGGACTCAACACAAATGTCGTTTCGGACTCAGTTTGACGACCTTTTGGATTTACTTGGTGACTTTTCTGACTCGGTATGGCTACTTTTCTGACTCGGACTGGCGACGTTTCGGACTCAATAACGGACTCAATAAAAGCTGAAAAATTCTATGTATGTATTTGTAATAACTGTTTATTCTTTCGTTTTAGATGGGACCGAAGACAGACCATTCACAATAATAAAGAAATTAAACATTGTTAGTTGTGTTTTATTTATCCCATACAGACCTTACGCACTGTCGTTTCAGATGAGGCCGAAGACAGACCATTCACAACAATAAAGAAATTAAACATTGTTAGTTATGTTTTATTTATCCCATACAGACCTTACGCACTTGAACTTTTATTTGTTTCGTTTTAGGTGAGGTCGAAGACAGACCATTCAAAATATTAAAGAAATTAAACATTGTTAGTTGTGTTTTATTTATCCCATACAGACCTTACGCACTTGAACTTTTTTTTGTTTCGTTTTAGGTGAGGTCGAGGAGAAAACCATTCAAAATATTAAAGAAATTAAACATTGTTAGTTGTGTTTTATTTATCCCATACAGACCTTACGCACTTGAACTTTTATTTGTTTCGTTTTAGGGGAGGCTGAAAAAAGACCATTCAAAATAATAAAGAAATTAAACATTGTTAGTTGTGTTTTATTTATCCCATACAGACCTTGATCTTGAAGTAAAACCAATATTACTGTATTTAACTTTTTTTTTTTTTTTTTTTTAATAGCTTTATTTATTTACAAATATACATGTATACAAAATTATAATAGGTACAATTAACAATATGCATGGACAAACATATAATACATTTTATATTTGTTTATAGATTTTTATATGTAGCTATTTTTTTCCCAAAGGTTTATATACAAATCAAACAGATATACAACTGTGCATTATCTATTATCAGGTATATGATAATATAGTGAAACTAAGCCGAGATTATTTAATCTCTATTTAATTGATTGGCGATTGTTGTATTTAATCTGAGTAAGTTTAGATTATTGACGATAATTGATCAATTGATCCGCGATTCTTAAAGCCGTTAAGAAACGGTTGAGAAATAAAACACCGCTACCTTCCTTTTGTTGATTGAGTCAACGCCAGGGGTCCGGTATCATTTTATTTACTTAATTGACGTGAGTTATTTTCAGAGGCAGAAAAGATACCCCTCAACATTACCATGATGTCGGAGGGCTCGATGAGCCGGCTTCAGAGAAGCCGGTATTGGCATATAGAGGGCCAACTATTTCAACTATGGGATGAATATAACCACCAAGATATTAGTACGAGTAGGCTATTAAAAAAAAAAAGCCATTTGTACGGCCCACCTGCCCAATAAAGAAAAGTGAAAAAATAATTAAAATAATTGGAAAACTAAAAAAAAATGAAACTGATAAAATAAATGTATGTTTTATAAAATAAATGAATACCCGACTGAAGCTATTATTTCATCAAATAAATATGCCTGTTGTTATAAATCGCTGTATGCTATGTTAATGTAAGAATTTAAATGTATGTCTTAAATAACGGAGACCGAAACGTCACCTACCCTAGTCCGAAACGTCATCTACCAAAGTCCGAAACGTCACCTACCCGAGTCCGAAATGTCGAGGACATATTTTTTGGAGTCCGAAATGACGCAGGACAGAAATGACATGTAATCAAATCTGCGTTCTCCTTAAAAAATATGTATTAAAGGGTATATCATAAATATAACCCTTGGGGCTTGAGTGGCATTAAGTACAATAAAAAACACAATATAATTTATATGGAAAACAATGACTTGTTGGTACATGTACAAGATGGCTTCTGTAACATAGTCTGACTCTAAAATATGAAATGAAATAAAATGGGGTTTAACGTCCTACTGTTCTGCTCCGAACTGGGCTAATGAAGACGGGCATACGCCATACAGAATTCCAATTGTCAAGGGATCTGTTACATGTACGCCAATGTGTACACAGGACCTCGGTTTTTCTCCCATCCGAACCACTAGACAGCTGTCCTTGTCAGGCCCTCCATCTTGCATCACTGACAAGGGGAAACCACGCCAGAAAATCTGGACAAACTTTCTTAGCCAATGCAGGGATCGAACACCCGACCTCCAGGCTACCGAGCCAGCATCTTACCTACTTAGCCACCGTGACCCCTCCAAAATATGATACAGAGTTACACTTAAACTCAAGTGCATGGGAGTAGTACCATATATCCACAGCAGCTAAGTCGTCCGAGAAGTCCACAAGGGTGGACACATATTTTTTTTTCATTTTGTCATTAATAAAAAGCCTTCACAAGACACTAAAAACAGATTACATGTAACAAGCTATTAAGTAATTATACGATATCATTAGAATTTGACTTTGAATCTGTTTAGTGTTTTAACATGTAATATCATTAATTTAAAGCTTCAACTTAACCAAAATCACATGAAAATCAATAGGATTCTCCGTCTCAAGACCTTAAACATTGTGTATAAAGTCATTCCAATGATAAATGTGGTCTCTAGAGCGACAACAAGATTTTAAAAAGTAATCAAGAGCTATAACCACTTACAGTAAAAGGAAATCATTGAAAATCAATAGGCTTCGTTGTGTAGTGACCTTATAGATTTTGTCAATCAGATATTAACATTAGCCTCTTAAGACTGACAGACAGGGATTACGACAATATACAACCACATTTCTACATGTCTGTTGCGATATAAAAATGAAGCTAGTTTTCTCTCCATTGCGGAAATTACTAAAACTGAATTAGTTCCATACCTGTTTAAGAGTTATCTCCACCTGTTGTAATATGTCATCTATAGAACTACTATAGGTATTCACCCTTAATGTGGTAAAAGATGGTGGTATTCCTAGCCACTTCATCAAATTTTCAACTCTTTCAGCATTACTACACTGAAAAAAAAAAAACGAAACAAATACATTAGCCAAATCTTGGGAGTTAACAATTCTGTTTGGGTTGTACATATACCAGAGACACATACATGTGAAGTAAGTTCAACTGCCACCAATGTTCTTTCCCCCCACCCAAAAATAGCTTTATTATTTTGTCTGAGAAATGTCCAAACAGTCCAAAAAGGTTGTTGCATATTTATTCATTTTGTAGGTAATATGAGCTTTTCCAGGACAACAAAACTGGCCAAGAGCAGCAACCAATGAAGTAAATATCAGAAATAATTAAAATATGATAGATAGGCTTTTAGTTCTTCCTAGTAGTAACAATCATTATACAAAACATGTACCGGTGCAGGAAGGAGGGCTGTCTAGTCGTTTGGATGGGACGAAAAAAACAAGGTCCAACGTATACGTTGCCGTACATGTAAAAGATCCCTTGGGATTCAATATAAGAGTAGGCCGTAGTGCCGGTGCACGGGCAAAATTTCCCTCATAGCACACTGTATGGCATATGCCCGTCTTCCATAGCTCAGTCGGAGCAGAACAGTAGGATGTTAAATCCCATTTCATTTCATTTTCATAACATATACCAGTAATCAGATCTTAACTTAATTGTTCTTTTTTTTTTAGGCTATATGAATTGTATTAATTGCAATAACTTTTCAGGAGTGGACTGATTTTATGATTTTAAAGATACATTCCCACGAAATTATTTATTGGGTAGTTATTGGTATGGCATTTGTGGTATACATTGTACATGTATATGGAAAAAAGCAACACTCAATCTCACTAGAAAATACTGGATTCCCTGAATAACACATATGGGGTGCTTACATGACAAAAATGTAAGGGTGTCACTAACCGTAAAGTAAGGAGTGCTTCGTATGTGTTTATATCATATTTAACAGTTGTGAGAACATCAAGAGACTTAAACATCCAGTAGACTCTGTGATTAAACAGACGAAAAGAAAAAGCTGACGGAGGATAATCTAAGAATTTTAGGCTTCTGAAACTTATGGTAAATGGACAGAGACTGACGACAAATACAAGCTTAAAAAGGATTCTCCCTCAATCAAATCATGCGCCTAACAAGTTGAGTTAAAAAGCATCTTGCGGCATGGGGTAGTTTTTGTCTTCAGATTAAAATGTCTTCAGAGCAAACTTTTGATAGATAAATTAGCACCGGTATGAATATGTTTCTTTTTTTAAAGACATATTTTATTCACTATAAATGAATGGGAAATTAGGGAACAGGCAAAATGCCTATGTCAGACCCCTTCAAATATTATATCATTAAATCATACAGTTTGTTGGAGGGATGTCATCCCTAAAGAATGTAGTTAATTAATATTGCCTCCCTCTGTGGCATAGTGGTCAAAGGTGCAGTGCTTCAAGCTCTAGCAGTCGTGGTTATGATCCCTGGTGTGAGTGTACATGTATGTGGCTTGGAGATAACTTCTCAACTTCGTGGGTTTACTCTGGCCCTCAGTTCACAAAGAATTCTCAGACTTAAGTTAAGAATTTACTCAACTTTCAATCACTGTTTATGAGAAATGTCTTTGATCCAGAAACACAAAACTTTGCATATAGTTTCTTATTGATGTATTTGATACATTAAATCAACAAAAGTTTTATACAGGACTATATTTTAATTGAAATAAGACAAACAATTTTGAGTAAATTCTTAACTTAAATTAGCTAAGTCTTTAACTCAATATCATCCAAAATCTTTGACATTGAAAACACGATTTATTTGTCGGTTTTAATCAACATTGACGTTGTGACCTTGCCGGGAAAAGATGGGCTTCTGGTATCCAATATTTAAGACAAAATAAACATTTTACCATTGGTACACGAATCGTGTACCATAATGCGTTTCAGCGCTATTTGTAATAAGGGACTCAAAAAACGAGGCTAGGCATATTCCACAAGTCATGTCAAACGGTGACGCTATATTCTTATCTGGAGAGCATGCCCAATAAATACTATCGGCGTAGACTGGAATAACCAGAGAATACTGGCGTATTTCGCCGAACCTAACTGATTAGAAATTACAGTAAAAACAGAAACAATTGAATGTAAATCAATTTATATACATTCATATTACATTACATTATTTGTGTCAATTTCTAGGTCCCAAATATTAGCAACTTAGCTCCTTTAAGTCTGAGAATGCTTTGTAAACTCAGGGCCTGGTTTCCTTACTCAGGAAAGACCCCTGCGCATGCACTTAGATAATAATAATACGTTTGAATTGGTTTGCATCACGAAACTTGCGCTTGCGCGAAAAACGTATTTAGTTGATGTTTTTGAATCGCAAAATTCTACTTGAAAATTGTGCAGAATTAGTATAAATTTGTGACAGATGTGAAAAGAAATGATTCCTTTTGGCGAATAAGGAAGAATCATGGTGAAAAAAATGGACGGTAATTATAAGTATTCGAAAATAGCCTTAAAACAGAGATGAGGAGGGAAGAGTGGTATTTTCATAATGCAGCTTAATAGGGATGAACGGAAACGGCGAGAGGACATGGTCCGGATGACGAGACACCGTTTAGTTCCGAAAGGAACTACTGTCAGAGGAGTTCAAGAATTATTTACTGAGATGATTTTCAGGAGTTCCAGAATTAGGCCTACTGAGTACTGCACGTAGTAGGGGGGTTGGATGTGCGCGCTGTATCATATTAAGGTCTGTCATTGAGTAAACTGGCGTTGTTTCGAGTCCCCGGTTGTAAGTGACAAGGAGTAGGGTCGCCTGTCCAACCTCGTGGGTTTTCTCCGGGTGCTCCGCGGTATCCTCCCACCTCTAAAGACCACTACGAGCAAGCGAATTATTGAAATAAAATTAAACCATATGTTAGTCCCGAAATGACCTAGTTTTTGTCGAGTGGACGTTAAACCCCATTTCTTTCTCTCTCACTTAGTGTCAATAGTTACAAACGATTTGGAGGTGTTCCTGAATTACTTACAAATGATTTAGCAATCAATTCTTTCGTCTGCTGATTCATGCATAAAGCAGGCAGGGCCATCTTCAATGAAGATATCGTTTGACCAAACATTCGACTAAATAATGCTAAGAATAAAACATGGAGGTAGAATACTCCTAGGAATAAAAACAGTAATGTTTGTTTACAACCGGCACGTGTTTACAAAATATGATTGTTCCGGAAGTTACAAATACAATCGGAACTCTTCGGTCATAACACCCGCTTAGCCAACAAGGAATGCATACAGTTTCTAGTAGGAAAGTCGTGTATTATTTTCGGTCATTTATTGGATTTCATAATATTTAATACGGTTTAAAATAAAATAATTGCAATACAACGTAATTTAAAATATATTCGAATCGCATTCTAACCTGAGCTTTTTTTTTCTTTTTTGCATTCAAGGTTTTATATGGCGCATGATCGGGGTTTGAATTTTAAATACAGAACAACAATGGAATTTATTTCTATGAAACACGACATAACACAAGATAATCAACTCTTTCGCACATGGGGATTCGTGGTTTATTACGGATTAAATTATTAGGTAAATAAGCACTAGCGCTTGTCACATTTTAAAATACATTTTCTATCATTTAAATCATTTTCTATAGACGGGTTTCTAGCTTTCTCACTTGTTGTAAATTCTGGATGCACACCATTATGCATAAACTTCTCTTTTTTCCAGATCAAGGTGGTGCTGGCTTATTGTGATCATATCCCATTATATCGTGTACAGAGGATGTGGAATGGAGACACATTTGCAATACCCTATATCTTTAAAGTCGATCCGGGCTTTCACAAGCAGCCACTGGAGACTTAGAGTTTATGTTACATGATCTCTGGAACATGACTTGGCAACTAGTCGCGAGCTCAGTTATTTTGTACAACTTGAAGACGGTTGAGGGAGAAATCTGGAATGCCAGCCAGGAGTCCATTTCCATAGTCCAACGGACATATGACCAATGCATAGTATATTCAAATCCACTAAATATCACAGGCTAATGATGCCATCGAGAGTTGATTATGGTCTGGATAAGTTAATTAATGTCTAATTAACGAATGAAATACCCGCAATAGTCGGATTGCATAAAGTATGTTTAAGAAAACGAAATAAAAATACCAACACTAGATATTTTCCCGGCTTGGATTAAATCGCATTTAACCGATAAACCACCAGGTTTCTCCGCAAACGGTAAACGATGGCGTCCAATCTAATTAAAATACAGATCTATATTTCGTTTCGTTTTTTATACTTTCGATGGCCTACACTACATGTAGTAAAGGCAAGTAAAAACGAAATTTTGAACTATAAAAAACGAAACGAAATTGGATCTGTGTTTTAATCAGATTAGATGGCGGCGTAGGCCAACTATTTCGCTCGGACAACATAGATCGACGAAATTTCAATTTATCTTAACTTTGTAATTACTGAACGGAATTTTTGAACTGTTATTCCTATTCTAGATCCCCCTTTGCTTAAAATGACGCATCGGGACTTTAAATCAACTTTTGTCGGGTTCTCTGACTGAAAATTATGTGGAAATACAAAGGGTTAACAAAGAAAAAACATGAGGCTATATACTTTATTTACCCCAGCTGATAATGCCTACCACAAACTACCACAACCTATCACATTAAACAGAACAAAATTTTATGAGATATCAATCACTGGGATACAAACCTATTACAACCAACCAGTGATCTCAATCACAGGTATATAAACCTATTACAACCAACCAGTGATTGAGATCTAAACCTACCACAGCCAACCAGTGATTAAACGCCCATAAAATTTTTGATCTGTTTTTGATGTGTGTCTCAATCAGTCTGATTAAAATACAGATCTATATTTCGTTTCGTTTTTTTATACTGTCGATGACCTGCGCTACATGAAGATCTCACCACTTGTAGTGGAAGGTCGCGTCAGGGGTAATACGAGCGGCATTTCACCCTATGACGTCAGCCATTTGATTAACCAATCAGCGTTGATGTTTCTGGCGGGTTACCTACAATTCTATGCACCTCACGCAAAAACTCGCCGTAACAGACCGTTTCATATGCTAATCCCTCACATCATCCAGAACGCGGGTTATATAACAACTCTTCCAGATCCTGGTTTAGTAAAGACAAGTAAAAAGAAATTTTGAACTATAAAAAACGAACGAAATACGACCCGTGTTTTAATCAGATTGTTTCTCAATCGCTTAATGCCACTTAAAGATTACAACCCCAACCCCTTTGTAATTTTATAAATTACAATTCTTCAAATACTTTCTTGGGCCTTAAACACAGAATATAGCGAAATATTAATTCTTATTTTGCGTTTGCTGTATTGGAATTCGAATGTTATTTTATGGCTTCATTTCAGCTGTTACAATCGGAATCAATATTATAGACCTGGTGGATGTCATATACCATATATTATAATTTCGGATTTATCGACATAAAATGTTGGAATTAGTGAAACGCAAATCTCTATGACTCTATAAATATATGCCCTTGCTTACAAATACATAAAGAATTTGATTTTGGGTCAAAGAATAAATTTGTCAGTTTCATTTGGTTTGTTTTGGTGAATAAAAATCTATTTTATGAAGTTTGTAGTTTAAATCAGCACTGAGTTCCGTTGTTGATATAATAAATTAAATATGAAATTAAAATTAGTAAATATACTTTCAAAATTTTCGAAACAATTCAATGCTTTCTTTTAAAAGAGGTTTAGCTCAATTCAATGTTAAGCCGTCGTATATACTACGGACAGCCTGGGGGGGGGGGGGGGGTGTTAGTAAACCTGTGCGTGAGGCTTGTGGTCACTTGCGTGTGTTCGGAACCGTAGAAGATCGCAATCAAATTAAAATATAGATCTATATTTCGTTTCGTTTTTTATACTTTCGATGGCCTACACTACATGTAGTAAAGACAAGTAAAATCGAAATTTTGAACTATAAAAACGAAACGAAATTGGATCTGTGTTTTAATCAGATTGAGAAGATCGCAGACTGGCCGTAGAAACTTTTGGTTCTGCACAGTCAAAATTTTCGCACGGCTGTTCTGCGGGTTGTGAGCTAGGCTTTAGGCTACAATTTTAAAAACACGTGTTTACGGTTACCCGGTCGACCCTATTTGTTTCTTATTTCATGGGGGGTTAGTGGCCGACTAGTTAACGGGTGCGCGTTGTATCATAAGGTCTGTCATTGAGTCAAGTGGCGCGTGGTTTCTTTTTTCACAGATCCTATTTTCATAAACCTTACTCGGCAATCAAGCTAAAAATACTTAGAAATAGATAATACAAAATAAAGATTTTGTGACCGACTCTATTTTTCGGGCCATATTATAATAGCCGTAAACAATGGGCTTTTTTTCTTCTTGGCCGTACATGCACATGTATATTCTTGGTCCTTAGGTACCTTCATATCCATTATAAGTTGAAGGGATATTTCTAGCTTTCATAGTCTAGCGTTGCGGAATCCATAAATGTGAGGGACGGAGTTTTGATGGCCTGGTGTATATATAGATATTGGTGTATAGTTGTTGAAATATTTGGAGATATTTATTTATTGTGGAGCACACTCCCATAAGCAGTCTATGTGCTAGAGACCGAATTATGGACCATCTTGCATTGCAAATTGTTTTTTATTTATCCACGCCCTTCTCTGCATCCACTATAATGTCTTGGGTATATCGGGTAATCCTTCACGGAGAAGAAACTTTCTGCGAAAAAGTAAAATATATGATTGTATAACCAGTTTGGTTTGCGTTCTCCGCAGTAATGTTATATCAATACCGGTACACTCGGTATTGATTTCTCAGCATGAAAGCTCTATATCATATCGTATTTCGTATATTATATAAACTATATGTTTATCTATGTATGCAAGTAATCAATTCAATATAAGGAAAAATTGGGAAACAGCTTTCATAGTTATCAATATAGCGTCAACATACAATCTAACCAATCGTAAATTATACGTATACTTTTCAACCAATGCAATTGCTGTACGTATTAAAAAGAATTTTATGGGGAATAACAAATTTAGTCCGAAATTTATCAAAGCAATAGCTTTGAATAAACTTATTAAAATATCGTTTCAAGAATATCGCTTTCGGAAAGCGACTGCACTTAGCATCCATACAGATATTTTACATTATTTTAGATTAAAATTATTTAAAACGTCGTTCCAATTCGTTTCTCGTTTCTGAAATCTGACGTGGTTTCCCCTTGTCAGTGTTGCAGGACAGCTTTCTAGTCGTTCGGATGTGTATTTATTGGCGTGCACGTAAAAGATCCATTGGAATTCGATGTAAGAGTAGGCCATAGTGCCGCTGCCCGGGCCAAATTTCCAACATAGCACACTGTTTGGCGTATGTATGTCTTCATTAGTCCAGTCGGAGCAGACCAGTAGGACGTTAAACCCCATTTCATTTTTTTTTTTCATTTCGTTTCTAAAATAAATGAAAGTGAGGTGGCCGAGTGGTCTGATCATTGAGCCATGTTGCATGTACATGACAAGGAGTTGGGTCGTCTACCTATCTTCGTGGGTTTTCTCCAAGTTCTCCGGCACCTTTCATTACTAAAAGGACCATAATTAAAATAGAATTAAATATATTTTTATGTTAATCCTGAAATGACCTAGTTGTGTTGAATGAACGTTAATATCTCTCTCTCTCTCTCTCTCTCTCTCTCTGGATTATATTAAGACTTTTTATTTTAAATTCAGCTTCACGTTTATTGGGCACTAACAGGTTACCCAGACGATTTGGAAAGGAAATTCGGTTTCAAACTTAACGGGAAAATGCTCTTTTATTTCTTAAATAATCGGTTTTTGTCGAATGGACTTTATCATCCCACCCCACCCAGCCCCACCACCCTCTTTTTCTCTTCCGGAATGACCTAGTTTGTGTCGAGTGGACGTTAAACCCCACCCTCTCTCTCTCTCTCTCTCTCCCTCTCTCTCTCTCTTTCAAGTTTACCTAAACGATTTCACGAGAAAGTACTCTTGTATTTCTTGCATAATCAGTTTATGTCGGGTGGACGTTACCCCCCCCCCCTCTCTCTCTCGCTCTCTCTCTCTCTGAAAGATATGAGTCAGCTCTAAGCGCAACACGAAATTTTATTGACTATGATACAACAAAAGGGTTTGCATATTTCAATTCTGTCTCATATAATAACCAACA